TAAAAAGGAAGTCAATGGCTACTGTCAACTGTTTGGTTACCAACATTCTTCAAAATATCATCTTTTACGTTTAGAAATCCATATAGGTTGAAAACAACTTCATGGTGAATAAATGATGACAGATTTTCATTTTTGGGTGAACTATCTCTTTAATATGCAATAAAAAACTTTATAAAATGTTACATAACACAATATATGGAGTGATGTACAATATGTGTTTACCCAGACGAATTAATTTCAAGATACTTGTCTTAAGTCTAAGAAACTGATTATTTCTGTAAGTTTAAGTAGTTTATCACTACCTAAACCAATATAGTGTTATCATTCTGAAGCATTAGACATTCATAAGTGCAAATCATTTAAACATCGCAGGAAATCTATGGTATGTAACAACACTGCATTTATCTGATGCTCCTTTGATGATTCATTTCCTAAATTACTCAGCATTCTGATTGCTTGTATATACTGTAGTTCTTTGTTTGGGGATTTTTATACACTTCTAAAATGTAATGTGCCAAAGCAATCTGCTCTTTGCTGATTGGTTAAGCCTGAACCTATGGTATTTGAGGCATTTGAGAAGTGTTCAGTTATCCAGGCCATCTGAGTTTAGTCAACAACACCAGTTAAACTTTGGTTCTATTTCTAGTACAGAATACTTTACACTCGAGAAATCGTGAATTCCGTCAGCCCAAAATCTCAGTTATGTGACTGATATGAATGTAAACATAAATTTCTTTCATTTTTACCTCTGACTATTCATAATAACCAGGAGAAAGTCCATGTAAAAACTCTAAATGGCTACATAGCGCTTTCAGGGATGTATCATCTCACTACTTAACATATTACTGTATATTATTGTGTTTAACAAGGTGTCACAAAACAGGCCAATGTTATGTTTAACTTTACCCACTGAACCTGATTTATTAGTAACATATTTCACATTTTTGTGATGTCACAACTGCCTTTGTTTTTTTTTTTTGCAAGTGTTTGTACTAACTATAATGCATTTTTGTACAAGGGTTTAAAGTACTTTATACTGAATGTCAACCCCTGAGACATGTAAAAGTTCACGGAAATACATAATTATGTGCTTCTTTTATTTTTATTATTATCCATTTAAACATCGCAGGAAATCTATGGTATGTAACAACACTGCATTTATCTGATGCTCCTTTGATGATTCATTTCCTAAATTACTCAGCATTCTGATTGCTTGTATATACTGTAGTTCTTTGTTTGGGGATTTTTATACACTTCTAAAATGTAATGTGCCAAAGCAATCTGCTCTTTGCTGATTGGTTAAGCCTGAACCTATGGTATTTGAGGCATTTGAGAAGTGTTCAGTTATCCAGGCCATCTGAGTTTAGTCAACAACACCAGTTAAACTTTGGTTCTATTTCTAGTACAGAATACTTTACACTCGAGAAATCGTGAATTCCGTCAGCCCAAAATCTCAGTTATGTGACTGATATGAATGTAAACATAAATTTCTTTCATTTTTACCTCTGACTATTCATAATAACCAGGAGAAAGTCCATGTAAAAACTCTAAATGGCTACATAGCGCTTTCAGGGATGTATCATCTCACTACTTAACATATTACTGTATATTATTGTGTTTAACAAGGTGTCACAAAACAGGCCAATGTTATGTTTAACTTTACCCACTGAACCTGATTTATTAGTAACATATTTCACATTTTTGTGATGTCACAACTGCCTTTGTTTTTTTTTTTTGCAAGTGTTTGTACTAACTATAATGCATTTTTGTACAAGGGTTTAAAGTACTTTATACTGAATGTCAACCCCTGAGACATGTAAAAGTTCACAGAAATACATAATGTGCTTCTTTTATTTTTATTATTATCATTTACCATATGGAATAAGATGCTAAAACTGGAGCATAGACATAAAGAATAACAGTCATTAACCCAGTGAATTTAGTCCAGAAATTTTATTATACACTGAAAAAAAAAATGTTAAAGAAATAATTTTCACTCAGAAATTGCTATATTTCACAAATAATTATAAAGAAATGGAAAGTAACACATCGAATTTTGTGAAACATTCCAATTCACTTTATTTGATTTACTTTGATCTATTTCCCTTCTTGGTTTTCAACCTTTGTAGAGTCTGGAACCACCACTAATACAAATTTATAAATGTCATGAAAATAAAATAAAATTTGAGATATTTTATTGCCTATATCTTTGTTGTATATATAATCTCCATGGACCTCTGATCGAAAACCCTGATACTAGACAATAAGACAATAGTTTGAGGATATGTAAGCGGGACGCAAGCACGTCGTGATGATTCTGGCTCCGTCCTGCCAGAGCTCGACTAGCCGGTTTCACTGAGCAAGAACAGCAACACCCAAGTTTCTGTAATCACTTCATTCAAATGAGCCCTTCACAATGGAATTTATCTACTCTATCACAACATTTTTTGTGTTGCTGTCATTTCTGAAGTGACCAGACTTGATTTGTGGAAAGAAACGTTCCATCAACAACTGTTTTTAGCTGTATTTGGTTCTTAAGTTGAGCTATATGATTCTTTGGAGATAAAATGTTCTTGATGCCACATTGTAGATTTAGTGTTCCTAGCCAAAAATGACCTAAACATTCCTTGTAAATTTCCCATTATGCGATTTAATCACCAAATCTTGAATTCGATCTTTTCGTTCAATTGTTTTCTTTCAATTAGCACAGGTTTTGTATTTGTTTTTGGAACTGATAGGCCTCATTGATCTGAGCTTATGCACTTAAGTTTGTGGAAAAAAAAAACATTATTTGTGCATAATTTGTGCAATGTTCACTAATAAACTGAGCATAAGCTCAGATCAATGAGGCCTATACCAATCAGTTACAAAAAAGAAATAGAAAACCTGTGCTAATTGAAAGAAAACGAGTCGATATAAAGATTGAATACCATTATTTGCTAATAATATAGCATAACAAAAAATGTATAAGCGCTTTTTTTTGTAGACCAGCCATTTTTGACCAGGAATACCACAAGTGTAACAAAGTGGGGGAAAATCCCCAAAAAGTATTAAAAGGAAGTTGAATACCATGTATGAGCAAAGTCAGTAAGTTTTAGTATAATGCGACATCACAGCAATTTTGGGTAAAGAATCTCCACACAACATGCACTAATACAACAGATGTTTTCTCAGAACGTAAAGCCACTTTTAGAGCCTCATTTTCTCATCTTCCACTTATCTGGCTAGGATAATTACGCAAATAACTTATGTAACTTACTTTATAGAAACTGAAGATAAAATATGTAAGAAGGGGCATTTGAAATACACTTGCTGTGACATCAGATTTGTCACAGTGGCATCATTTTTGTCTGAAAAAGCAGATCTGTCTGGGCTGAAATCCTTGTCACAGCTCAGGTATGTTCAAGGTTTCAGAGGCTGTTGTGTTGCTCAACACCTTCATAAAAACATGCTTATGTGCACTATTGAAATCCTAAGATCCCAGATGAAATATAAATCTCTCAAAAGCTTATTAAAAGGATCTTGTATTCATTCTGCATTTGCATTTTGTTTTTGAATTATTTCATGCATTTGATCTCGATCATGTTGAATTTTTGTTTTTGAATGCAATACTTATTAAACTCAATTTAAAGTGCCAGGAGTTTAATAGAAGCATTCCTTCACAATGATCAATTTACAAAACGTGTTTTCATAATGCATATGCTAATTATGATGACAAATATTATGAAATCATACAGAAACACTGGGATCACTAGGCCTGTATTTTCACTTATTTTCTCTGGTTAACATACACCCTTCTTTTTCCACTCGTAGCGTAGTTTTATTATTCACACCCAACGGTGTACGACTCTTCTATTGTGCAATAATGACTCTGAAAGCAACAGAACCCCGCTGCTCATTCAGGCATCTAATTGTCTTCACTAATGGGGTGACCCAGCCCTAAAACTGAAACCAGGGTGATCACACACAAACATTTCACATCAAAGTCAAAATAAACAATAAATAAATTATAATCTTTAATGGGGGGAAAATCCTAGCTTTAAACTACATTCCCCCTTCATTCTTATTATTGCAATGTTTTATTCTGCATTTCTCATTCATCTACTTGATTAATCTCAATGTTGAATTTTAAAATATTTGATATATTATAAATGATAAGTATTAAACACTACAATCATTTTTCAAAATTCTGTCTTTTTGTATTATCTGTTGGGTAAAATTGTGGCATGTTGTCACAAAAGGTCAATGTGCGTGTCTTTTTCCGTGGGCAATAACAGTGTTCAATATATAATATGTGACCCTGGAGCCCAAAAGCAGTCTTAAGTCGCTGGGTTATATTTGTAGCAATAGCCAACAATACAACAATATGGGTCAAAATTATCCATTTTTCTTTTATGCAAAAAATCATTAGGATATTAAGTAAAGATCATGTTCAGGATATTTTGTAAAGTTCCTACCATAAATATAGGCCTATCAAAACAATTTTTTTTATTAGTAATATGCATTGCTAAGAACTTCATTTGGACAACTTTAAAAGCGATTTCTCAATATTTTCTCAATATTTATTTTTTTTTTGCACCCTCAGATTCTAGATTTTCAAATAGTTGTATCTCGACCAAATATTGTCCTATCCTATGATATGACAGAAGAGATTGATGTAAAAAATCTCAAAATAAAAATATTATACGTGTGACAAAACTAGTGCCGTTTTTCTGTTGATTCTGAGGTGAAAAAGACCATTTTTCGTTAAGTTCACCTTGAAAACATCTTCAGTCAGCATGTTTTGCTTTTTTCCGTTTTGAAGCATTAACCCAGGGTGCAAATATAATGTCACACACCTGCTGTTGACATTCGTACAGCGTTCCGCTCATATTTTCATACAGGTCACCGTGGAAACGCCAATGAGCGCGCACCTCAAAGTTTCGACCTAAATTCCGGAAGTTTCATGGGACGGAACCTCCATATATGAATAATTGTGGGAGGAGCAACGTTTACAGGTGTATAAGTGCTGCAGGTTTAAATGAATCATGCAATTGATACCAGCAGCCGAGCGAACGAGGGAGAGCGTGGAGGGAGCACAACTTCTGGTGTTAAGGTTTGGGGTTTTATTTTTTTAGTGGCTGTCGCACCAGGATTCGTATTTATTCGATTTCAGGAATTCCCGTGGAAGTAGACCTGGCTGTTTGTGAACACGTTTAGCGCTTTTATAACGTTTAGATGTGTTTCATCTATTCTTTTGAGTCCAAATGCTGAACATGAGTGGAATCTACCGGGGTTTCACGTCTTTCCAGTTGTGTTTGGGAGTGGTTTGGATGGATTTGTCTCTTTGGGAGCGGCGTCACTAGCATGTGTGCTTCATATGAGAGTTTTGGGAAAGCATCTATAAACCCCCCTTTAAGGATTTGAAGTTTTATGGCACAAGCTTGATTTGTAACAGTGTTTGCATGGAAAAGAGGAAAGCTATGCTACATTAAAGCTAGAAGGCATTAGCAGGGTTATTTTGGTTTACAAATAAGCTTATTTAAATATCTCGTTAGTAATTTGTTCTCCTTTTTGTCCACCAGAAGGGAAACCTAAAGACTCCTTGGATATGGCTTTCAACAACACCCTGACCTCAAGAGCTGTTCTGCTCTATGATGAGTGGCTTAAGGAAGCAGGTGAGTTTGCATCATCAGCACAGCTGTGTCTGTAGGGTTTCTGTAATTGGTTGTGAAATAAGACCTCTTTTGCCTCGCTTGTAGATCCACGGACTGAGAACTGGCTGCTTATGGCCTCTCCGTTCCCTCAAACGATCATCATCGCTGCTTACATCTACTTCGTGATGTCACTGGGGCCTCGGCTGATGGAAAACCGCAAGCCCTTCGACCTCAAGCGTCCAATGATCATCTATAACTTCAGCATTGTGGCGTTCTCCATCTACTTGGTTTACGAGGTTCTTGAACATGTTTCATCATGAGTTTCTAGTGTTTTTCTCTCCTATTGTTGTGTGTTTATCGAAATGTGTCGTCTTCCTTTTACAGTTTCTCATGTCTGGCTGGGCGAACGGCTACACCTATGGGTGTGACCTCGTGGATTATTCCAGTTCTCCTCAGGCTCTCAGGGTATGTGAATGGAGCACATTCTTGTAATTGTTCAATTGTTGCCAATGACGCGTTCAACAATTTGACACTTCCTTATCCTTGTTTCTTTCTAGATGGCATGGACCTGCTGGCTGTACTATTTCTCCAAGTTCATTGAGATGCTTGACACTGTACGTGGGCTTCTTTTGTATTCTGAACATGAACATTAGGTCTTTATGATGGATGATCAATGCTGAATCTCTTATGTTATCTCGTCTTCACAGATTTTCTTTGTCCTGAGGAAAAAGAACAGTCAGGTTACGTTCCTTCACGTCTTCCATCACGCCATCATGCCCTTCACCTGGTGGTTTGGGGTCAGATTCTCCGCAGGTAAAGTATTATGGATCATTCAACCAAAAATGACAGTTGTCCCATTCCAAACCCAAAAACGTTGGGTAAACTGAGAGGTTTCTGTCTCGCCATTGAAAGTCCAGATGACCAAAAGGTCCCAAAAAGATCATAAAGGCATTATAAAATGACTCCCAATGAAATGGACGGTTCAATCAAAGTTTTGTGAAGAGGTTCAATTTCTTTGATGAGCCAATTTAATGTAAGGTTTTAAACCACTTGATTCGTTTGATGCATTTATGACCTTTTTGGATCCAAGTTTTGGTTACCTTTCAATAGAGGTTGAACGGTGAATGATCCCTTTAAATTCATCCTAAAAAATAAGTGCATGTACATGCTAAAAATAGTCCCTATGACTTGTTAAATGCATGCCAAACCGCATGACCTCAAGTTGCTTGACAGCTGTGGCCATCCACTTTACTTGTATGCAAAGCATAATGTCTATGCAGCTTAATTTTCTCATATTTGGGTTAAATATTCCTATAATGAATACTGTTAAATGGTATGTTTTGCTTTCTTAGGTGGTCTGGGAACCTTCCATGCCCTGCTGAACTGCATCGTCCATGTCATAATGTACACCTACTATGCTCTCTCCGCCCTGGGACCCGCTTATCAGAAGTACCTGTGGTGGAAAAAGTATATGACCACCATCCAGCTGGTAAGTTACCAGCTTACATCCCCATCCCCAGTGTCGTTTGTCGAAATCCAGGCTTTTTGATGTTGGAACTCTAAACCAGTTCTAACTCTACCCTTTCTGTTTGTGTTAGGTTCAGTTTGTGCTGATCACCGCTCACATTGGCCAGTTCTTCATGAAGGACTGTCCTTACCAGTTTCCTGTGTTCCTCTACGTCATCGGTTCATATGGGCTGATCTTCCTGTTCCTGTTCCTCAACTTCTACTATCACGCCTACACCAAGGGCAAGAGGCTTCCCAAGGTGTTCCAGAACGGAAACTACCTTCTCAAGAAATCCGAGTGATCTTTCCTTTGGCCACCCAAACGTGACGCTCTAACCTATTAAGTGGGAATATTCCTTTTTATTTCATCCGTTCAAGTTCCACTTCCCTGTTTTATGTTAAAACTAATGTGGAATCCACCTTATCACTGGATTTAAGACGTCTGAAAATTGCACACCGGTGTTTCACTAGAGATGCTGTCCTCATTTGTTGTCTTCACTTAAGGCTTTGAAATGAGTATGGGGTGGGAAGTACAGTGTTTTTGTTCTAATATGCTCTAATTTACCTGTAAATATTGAATTTTTCAGCTTCGGAATATGATTGAACTGCTGGCCAAATCTGAAAAGAGGTTATGAGAGCACAGGGGATTGAAGTTTGTTTCTAAAAGGGTTTTTGAAGGTTGTGTTTTAGTTGTAACTGAATGAGCCCGAGGCCCTTTGACCCCGGAGGAACGCTTGACTGATCTACCTGGTTGTGCTTGAACCTGAAAGTTTACCGCATGCCGCAGAAGTGACATCATCTGAAGTTTTGACAGATTTATGCTGTGTGACTATTTATTCGTTATTTAATGTTGCTGTTTTCTTAATGTGATCTTTTTTTTTTTTTTTTTTAAATATTGATCTGTAGAAATTACCTGTTATGCTTTTATGTTCTACTGATCAGAGCGGAGGAAATGGAAGACCAGAACAATGTTACCGGATTTTTCCTTGTTTTTTGTCTTTTTAAATGAATTTCCAATTTTGTGAGGAAAAAAAGAAATTGAGTTTTTATAATGAAACGAAATAAATTGTCAATATCTCTTGGTTTTCTTGTTTTCATTACGTTTACACAAGTTTTCAACAGCGCACTTACACTACATCTCCCATACGGCACTTGGGCAACTCCCGGTAAATGTGATGCCCATATTTGGTAAATCGGTAGCATCACGTGACTGATTTCGTGTGCCAATCACATTATTGGCAGGAACGTGTCGCTTTTCAAAACTAAGACAAGTAACTGGCGTGGAGATGTTCCACGGAGATAAACACGGTAACCTAAATGGATAAATAAGTTAATAAAAATTAATAGGGCTGAAATGGATGGTAAAATGATTGGACCGGGACCTTATAGGGCGACGAAATTGGTAAGTACATTTAAAAAAAAAAAAAATGCTGAATGTTTTCACGCGTTGGTTGAGCACCTCACGTGCGCTGATTTAATGTTTACATCAGTATTTCTTTAAACTACAAAATATGTGTATTTTAATTATATTGTCATTAAATAAATGCCTACATACTGCTTTATTTTCCGTGGGAATGCTGGAAAATATGTCGCGTGGATTCCGTGGAATACATTATGTGTTTTAGGCTTATTATATTCCAAATAAACAGGCCACTAATATTAGAAATGTTGTTTCTTTGGTCTGTGATTGATAAAGTAGTCAAGGTAACCACTAAAGAATATCATCATTTTGCCCATGGCTTTAATTTGGTCGAACTGAGATAAATTGAACAGAAAATAGTTTACCTGAATTCAGCCTACAGCTGTACGTCTATAACATTCAGCAAACATCTAGAAACAACTTATATCTTCTAGATGCATTTTATTGATCCCTGAGGGAAAATTCCCGTGTAACAAAAATTCACCATGGTATCTGCAGTTTCCATCAAAATACCAGTTACTTCATGGTTGTTACTAATAAAATAATATTAGATTTGGTGTAGGGATCAAAGAGGTTTTCAAGCAACAAAAATATAAAAGTTTAATACAGCTAACTTATGTGTGTGAGTGTATCTTTGTATACAGTATATATATTTTGTGTGTGTGTGTATATATATATATGTTTTTTTTTTTAGAATGTGTTTAATTTTATATTTTCTTATCAAAAAGTGATCATACATGCATTTTTCATACAGCCCCTGAAACTAATTGTCATTTTAAATCTTTGCCACTATCCTTCGAACCACTAGGTTGGGTTTTACCCGTTTGTCAGCAAGAAGTTTTTAAGAATTTAAAATACAATACAATTTAGTGTGATCACTTATTTTTTTCTGTTTTAATAAGTACAGGTCAGAATAAGTTTGTTTCATTATGACATAAATATATCTGTCATGCTAGATGACCATTACAACATTATTTCACCCATATTTTGACATTTTATTTGAAACATTAAAGTTGACACGTTACTTGCATTTAATTCACCTTTCTAAATGTAAACAGTAGATACATAATTAAGATAACATCATTACAATGTAAATTCACCACCTCTCAACAGTTTGCAGTTAAAACCACATTAGCGTTAAATTCTGAAATTCTTTTTATTATTTTCCCCAGTGGAATGAGACCATCAGGCTCTTCCGTGGTGGAATGCCAGTCAGACGTCACTGGGCTCATTTCAGGAGTTATGACCACAGTTTCACAGGAGCCGAGGCTGTCGACTTCCTCTACGAGCTGCTCAGACGAAACCAGAACTTCGGACCGGAGGTGACGCGCTACCAAACACTCCAGCTACTTCGGAAATTCTTCAAAAACCATGTCATCGAGGATGTCAAAGGACGATTTGGTAAAGACGACTTTGAGGACAGTGGACATTTATACAGGTGCTTTCTTAACTATCTTTCAAAAATTACATTTACAACATTGCCACTGTTATTTTTCTCTTTATTAATGTGAGGCTGCTTTGAAACAATCTGTATTGTATAAAGCGCTATATATGAAAAAAGTGTATATGTTGTGTTATATTAAAAAAATGTTTTTCAAAATAATAATAAATGCTTTAAATATTTTAGATTTCCCCCACAATCACCTCTGAAGCCCGTTCCTGTGCGTCCACCTGTAAGAGATCACAGCTCAGTACCCAGAATCCCACGCTGGGATGACTTTGAAGAGATATCAGTGCCGGAGAAGATCCCAGTGAAGCCTCTTATGGTAAGAGAACGCTTGGCTGTGGAAAAACATTTATTTTCCTAAAAATGTATCCTTTCTGGTGCCATTTACAATGTGAAACCTACTGAGCATGAATTATCTTCTGCTCACCTAGGCTGCATTTATGTGCTCAAAAATACAGTAAAACAAGTAGCACAAATGTTTTCAACATTGATAATAATAAATGTTTTTTGAGCAGCAAATCTGTATATTACAATGATATCTTAAGGATCATGTGACACTGAAGACTGGAGAAAGGATGCTGGAAAGTCACAGGAATAAATTACATTTTAACATATATTACAATAGAAAACAGCTCATTCAAATTGTAATAATATTTTACAGTATTACTGAATTTTTGATCATATATGCAGCCACCATAAGCATAAGAGATTTATTTAAAAAAACATTTAAAATTCATAATGTTTCCAAACTTTTGACAAAGACTGTACGTTTTACGTAAAGTTTTTCCAATTCTTATATATTTTGATCTAGAATTCCGAGTCGTGGAACAAGAGGCACAGCATCGCCATCGGTGAGGTTCCTGAATGCCGTTTAATCCGGAGGAGAGAATTAACCCCGAAACACGTGGACCAGATATGGAAGTCAATGACACTAACACAGTAAGCATCAACAGAGAAGCTCTAATCCTGCTCAAAAAAAGGAGTTTTGTTTTTAAAATGAGCTGTCTTATTAGTTTACAGACTGTTTTGGGTCTCCAGTCTCTGGACAGGGTTTTAGATGCCAAACTTCTGAGCCCCAAGCACATCGTTCACAATGTTTTTGGTGTTAATAAGCAGGGGATTGTTGTGCTGAAGAACAAAGCAGGTGAGCAAAGGTTATATTTTAACACATTTAACATATTCTTACAGCTCATTTCTGATGCATCTCTTTCTGTGTGCTGTATATTCTGTAGAGGACTTGCCACATTGGGTGTTATCTGCAATGAAATGCCTGGCAAACTGTGAGTGACTGATCATCTGCTGTCATACTGATTCAATGTTTAATGGATAATTAAATGTGTTGTTAATAATCACAATAAAGAATTATTTTGCCATGCGATATAGTTTGTTAGCCTTTGTGTACGTTGCCAAACTGCTTTTTTATAAATTAATATGTAATTAAATATGATGTCTGTATGCATATATTACATTATAGTCCATCTTTAATTGTGTATTAACTTTTATACATCTTTGAACTCATTTTTAGGGCCCAATGGGAATGACGCCAGGCAGCCCATGTATCCAGGGTTCGAGAGAGATGTCTTCAGGACAGTGGCAGAACATTTTCAGAGATTGAAAGAGCCACTTTTGACTTTCCATCTGTATGAAATATTTGTCAGTATTTTGGGTGAGTGATGCACAAGCTATTCACACGATGAGTGATGAACATATTTAATCAGCTGATACATTTTAAGATTATTACAATGACCAGAAATAGTTCTCTATTCTTTGAATCTTTGAATTAATAGATTTATGCACTACTGTCCAAATTTTGTGGCCAGTAAGATTTTTTTTTAAGAAATTAATACTTTTAATCTGCAAGGATGCATTAAATTGATCAAAAGTCACAGTAAAGACATTTATAATGTTACAAAAGATTCCATTTCAAATAAATGCTGTTCTTTTGAACTGTCTTTTCATCAAGCCATCCTGACAAAAGAAATGTACGGTTTCCTTAAAATTATTAAGCAGCACAACTCTTTTGAACACTGATAATAATAATAAATGCTTCTTTAGCAGCAAATCAGCATATTAGAATGATTTCTGAAGGATCATGTGACACTGAAGACTGGAGGAATAATGCTGAAAATTCAGCTTTGATCACAGGAATAAATTATATTTTAAAATATATAATCAAATAGAAAACAGTTATTTTAAATAGAAATAATATTTCACAATATTGTAATATAAATGTCAGCTCAAATAAAAGTAGCTTTTGGGAGCATAAGTGTTCTTGTAACTGTTTTCCTCCCGCAGGGCTTCTGCAGTCGGTTGCGGTTGAAGCGCTGCAGGTCTGCTGTCTCCTGCTGCCTCCAGCCAACCGTCGTAAACTGCAGCTGTTAATGCGTCTGATGGCTAAAGTCTGTGCTAACCCCTGTCTCCCCGCTCTGAACGACACCATAGGAGCTCGTACCCTGGTAAATCACTCAACTCCTCAGATAGATGTTCTCTGTACAAGTTAATTATTTGCAAATCACTGACCGTCATAGCTAATTTATAATTCAGCTCAGCGTTCAGTAGATTCTACGAGCAGCTTTCACACGGTCTGTCTCTTGTGGGTGCCTTCCTTCGCTCCTGTGCAGATGGTCCAGACCTTCTCCCGGTGCATTCTGGGATCTGCGGATGAGGTGGACTTGGACGAGCTGTTGGCCACCAAGCTGGTCACGTTTATGATTGATAACCACGACAGTGTGCTGAAGGTGCCGTCCAACCTGCGAAAATCTGTTGAGGAGCATCTGTCTCACCTCAGAAGAGCCCAGGTCAGCATCCCATGTCATTCATTGAATGCTTGATAAGTGACTGACTATATCATGAAACTGCATCCACAACAACTTTGGTGTATTTCTGAGAAAAAAATGAAGTGGGAATTAATGTAATAAATATTGTAGGTATTTGTATTAATATAGATTTGATTGTATTGTGGAAAATAGATTGTGATATTATTGGTTTGATATTTTTGTTTCCCACCCATATGGCCTTGGTTATATCAGAGCAGAGTTAAAAATACAAATTATGATAAAATATTATCACTGTGCACAGTAAGACCAGGAAAATTTGGTAACACTTTACAATAAGTTTTAATTTGATAACATGAATTAACTACATTAGTTAACATCAAGTAACAATTAATAATATTTACATAGTGCTTATGAATTGTAATATTTTTTTCTACATTTAAGATCAAAAGTTCTGTTAATATTAGTTGTGAACACATGAACAATCAATGAAAATTTGCTGAATATTTACTCACCCTCAGAGTTTGTTTCTTCTTGGGAACATGGGGGTTTGGAGAAATGTAGCATTACATCACTTGCTGGCCAATGGATGCTCTGCAGTGAATGGGTGCCGTCAGAGTCATGAGAATCCAAACAGCTGATGAAAACATCACAATAATCCACAAGTAATCCACACCACTCCAGTCCATCAGTTAACATCTTGTGAAGCGAAAAGGTGCGTATTTGTAAGGAACAAATTCATTATCAAGACGTTTTTAACTTCAAACCATTACTTCTGGCCACAGTACAAGTCTATAATGCATAATAACGCTTCCTCCAATGAAAAAGTCCATCCTCTGCTTTCCTCTGACATCAAAATCCACCGACATATTTGTTTAGAACTGTTTTGGACTGTTTTCATTTGTAAACGGTGCTTAATCTGTGCATATTTCTTTCATGATTCAGACAAGAATTTTTAACTGGAGGAGGCAATATTATGTATTATAGACTTGAAGTTGAAGTTAAAAATGTCTTGATGATGAATTTGCTTCTTATAAACACATACAGTAGCTTTTTGCTTCACAATATATTAATTGATGGACTGGAGTGGTGTGGATTACTTGTGGATTATTGTGATGTTTTTATCAGCTGTTTGGACTCTCATCCTGACGGCACCCATTCACTGCAGAGCATCCATTGGTGAGAAAGTGATGAATGGCCTGAAGGTGAGGAAGTTTTTAGCAAATTTTCGCTTTTGGTTATTCCCTGTTGTTGTCGTTGTTTGTGTAAGACTTATTTCTCCTTTTTTTTTCTTTAAATCAAAGTCAAGTTTTTAAGAGATCCAAATGCAAAATTTGTTAAAAAGCCATTTTCTGTTGTGAAGTTAATGAGCTTTGGACGTCTCTTTCTCACCCCAAATTCTCCTCGCATGCTTTGGTTTTTTTCAAGATAAAATATGCGGGTGCAGACACGGACACCGCCATGGCGTCTCCACCTCACTCGTTCTGCAGACAGATCAGCAGAGAGGAGTTTGAGCAGCAGAGGGTCTCTGGATCTCAAGGAGCCATGGTGGAACTACTGGAGAACATCATACAAGACAAGAACATGTCCATTAAAGACAAGAAGAAGAAGCTGAAGCAGGTTAGAGAGGATCCTTTTCACATGTCTTAGGGGCTAAAGGAATATCTGTCACATGGTGTGCATTACTACATGAAAACTGTGACATGTATTTACAGTAGACTTATCACAAATATAATGGTGTGATTGAATTGCTCAGAGTTCTGTCTATAGCCTTTATAGAGATGGAATTGTTTTACACTGAATCTTTCTTTAAATGTCAACTACATGTTGTTCTAAAAGGCCGATGTGTTACAGAAACGTTGAAATCTGAGACACACTGTTTATTTTCCCCTGTGTGATTTTTTATTTATTTTTTTCTTGGCTGTCAGTTCCAGAGATCTCATCCTGACGTCTACCGCAGACGCTTTCCCACCGCTGAAAGCGAGGCGGCGGTTTTCCCAGAGAGACCCCAGAGACTCAAACCTCAGCTGATGTTCCTCACGCTGAAGAAACCCTTCCAGCCCTTCCAGAGGAGCTGGAGCTTTCGTGCTTGAGTCAGCGCTCAGAGTGCTCAGTCTGACACTAGGGCGACTGTGTTAGGTATTATTATCAAGGAGAGATGTTACTGAATATTAAAGGTTGCATCCTGAATCGAAATGACACTAAATTCACCTCATGAGAGATCAGATGGATTAAATAAAGTATGATGCTGTGCATTGGAATCCCTTTAAAGCAAGACACTACAGGCAAACACGTTTTTTCATGCACTGACCAGTTTTGAGATTTTGGGCTATTTTGCTTTCATTACATGTCTACTTTCAGTATAGTGGAAAGAAAGCATCTAAAATGCACATTTAGGTGTTTATTATATCTATTTGCATCTGTAGATTTCAATTACAGTACATAACTGTAATGGCATGGGTTTTGTCTCCTTTTTGAATAAGTGATAAAATGAGTGATAAAATGAGAAATCTAAAATCCCTTTGATAAAAACCTTTAATAGGTCAAAAAAAATGAAACAAGAATTTCGAACCTGGCTTTATCCAGTGTTTAGTTTATATTTTGGAAGTTATTCAAATGAGTGCACATTTTATTAAATAATACTTCATTTAAACATAACATTTCAGAAATGTAGTTCAGAACATTTGTTTTAATGTATTATGATTAGTGAGGTGATTTCCTATTCACCTGTAGTGTCTTGCTGTAGGAATGGGCCTGAAAATAATAATAAAAAAGATTTATCTATAAAATAACATTTTCTTATAACCAGAAACGCACCCAGAGGGCCTCCATAGTGCTTGTTGATTTTATTTGTTTGATGTAAATAATCTGCAACATTTACAATCAGTTGCGTTCTGTTTTTAAGGAGCTGTTATTGGTTTAGTTTGACCTCCAGCTGCAGGTGTCGTCTAACAGCTGGTAAGTTCTCAGTTCTGCTAAATTATGCTGTCACTGATAATCAGCCAGAGGAAATATGTGCCGCTCACCAGAAAATGGCTTTTGAAAACTCCGATTTTCGATTTAGGTAGATGTCAGTGTCACAGCAACCACTGATGCACTAGAGGCTGCGCTATATTTCTGTCTGTCTTTTGTGTTTTTATACTTCAGTGTTCTCTGTTTTCACTGGTTTGTATGTGATACTTTAAGTCCATGTTTCTTTGGTTCTTTTGTTTTGTTCTTTCTTTGTATTTGATTTGGTATTAAAGTAGTTCTATTTTGTCCTGTTTGATCACGTCACGTAGCACTAAAGAAAACCTTCACATTTTATCACTTGACTATTTATAACTGATTGTGATCGACTCTGTCATGGTACTGTAAGTATATCGTTCAAAAGATACTGTTTCAATCTTCACTGGTGTTTTCTGTAAACTGGATTCAGCTGGCAGCTTTTACATGTCTTTGTGCGTTTTTAAAGTAATGGATTGTAATTTTAATACAATGCTGGATCGAATTCAGTGTCAGTGTCATTCAGTAGGACTTTTTCAAAGTTGTGTCCCCAGTGTTTTGATTTTGTACAAATTATGGAGTTATTGTTACTGATTTGGACGTCTACACTGTGATCACAAATATGGAATTGGAAAAAATAAATCGATATTATTACATGATGTTGCAGTTTTTTTTTATTTCTTCAGCCTGTATACATAGCCTAATATTTCAAGCTGACAGACATGCTAAACATAAACCAATAACTTGAAAGGCAGATACAGGGTTTAAAAAAGGTATTTACGGTCAAATTACGGTCTTAAATTCATATAGTAATGGCATAAAATGTCACATACACTGCAAAAATCTTACAGTATTTTTGTCTCGTTTTTCAATTCAAATATCTGGACATTCTTAAATGAAGATATATTTACTCGAGGTACTTTGTTCTGAGAAACTGAACAAAATGAAGCAAGTTTACGCTTCAAACAAGAACAAATATCTGTCAATGGAATGTGAAAACTTGTTTTCCCTGATTTTTTTCTCAACCCATTGGCAGGTATTTGTTCTTGTTTTAATCAAACTCAAACTTCATTTTGATACATTTCTAAGGAAACAAGATTTCTTACCAGATGTCATTTTGCTTATAAATTCATCTTGATTTAAGAATCTTTAGACATCTGCACTGGAAAAAGAGACAAACAATTTTTCTGTGCATGAAAAAATACTATAGTAATTTATAGTAAATACTATAGTATTTTTGAACCATACTATAGTGAAGTACTTGAATTAATTTGTTGTGGTAATTCTATAGTTGCTGTGGTAATGTAACATCTATAGTAATATAGACAAATTACTTCACCCAATACTGACCTAAGTTTTCTACAACTATAGGGTATATTATACTACAATACATTACAATTTACCAGTAAAGTACTTGAATTAATTTATCGTGGTAATTGTATAACTGCTGTGGTAATATAACAACTATAGGAACATAAACAGTTAGCAGACGCTTTTATCCAAATGAGGACAAGAAACAAATTACTTTACCCAATACTGTACTAGGTTTTCTACACCTATAGGGTATATTATACTACAATACACTACAGTTTACCATAGTAAAAACTAAAGTATACTACAGTATTTATTACAGTTTATCAATTCACTATACAGTATGCTGTAGCATTATTAACAAAGTGTTGTAAATACTATAATATATGCAGTATAATACACTTTACAATAGTATGGTTCAAAAACACTATAGTATTTACTATAAATTACTATAGTATTTTTTCATGTGGGGCAGGTAGAGTAAAATATTTCCTTGTTTTAGTGGTCGGGAGCAAAGCTATTCAAGCCTTAAAGGAACACTCCACTATTTTTGAAAATAGGCTCATTTTCCAACTCGCCTAGAGTTAAACAGTTGAGTTTTACCGTTTTCGAATCCATTCAGTCGATCTCCGGGTCTGGCGGTAGCACTTTTAGCTGTAGCTTAGCATAGATCATTGAATCTGATTAGACCGTTAGCATCTCGCTCAAAAATGACCAAAGAGTTTCTATATTTTTCCTATTTAAAACTTAACTCTTCTGTAGTTACATCGTGTACTAAGACTGACGGAAAATGAAAAGTTGCGATTTTGTAGGCCGATATGGCTAGGAACTATACTCTCATTCCGGCGTAATAATCAAGGAATTTTGCTGCCGTACCATGGGGGCAGCAGTCGCAATGATAGTACGCAGCGCCTGAAATCAAGTTCCTTGATTATTACGTCGGATGGATTCGAAAACGGTAAAACTCAACTGTTTAACTCTAGGCGAGTTGGAAAATGAGCCTATTTTCAAAAATAGTGGAGTGTTCCTTTAAGCTATTTTTTTAAAAATTAATTAAAAGGTAATGGAGATTGTTACTTAAAAGTCTGAAGTGTTGTGAATGCAACTCATTGTGTGTTACATATTGACATTTACCATATTGACAAATTGTGTCTTCGGTTTATTTTGTTTACTTGGTCTTAAAAAGTCTTACATTTATCTTTATAAAATCTGCAAAAACCCTGCCGATAAAAAAAAAAAAAAAAGGTTATATTTTGAGGAATATTTATGTTATAATGTGTAATGTACACCTCATTTTTAAACAAATGTTAATTTGTTTAATCTTTTTAGTTTGTTTTTTTTGTGTTATAAACCGTATTTTTGTCCTGAGGTGTACTTCAGCTGTCTTACTCAAGAGGTCAGTAAAGAACTAATAATCAATCTCTTAGAAAAACATCATTGGACATCAATCATTGGAAACCTGCTGTCTTTTCAGCACAAACCTTGCATGATGGAAATAGAAAAATCAAATGAATGATAATAATAATCATTTTAAAAGATTAAACTGTTTTCCTTTTCCTCTTTCATTGTTCTTTTTATTATTATCTTTATAAGCATTTTGCATATAAAAAATAATGTTAATGCTTTGGTAATACTATACTCCCAATTGTCGTGCCAACAAAACACTTAACTGAACTGAAACAGAGACGTTTCAGAAGGTCATTGCAATGACGTGTCCAACATTGTTCACTCTTGTGTGCACAATGGCATATGATCTCGTATGAACCGGCAGCTTCAAACAGGTTAATATTAGTAGACACATCTTTCAAGTATAAGCATTTTGCATATAAAAAATAATGTTAATGCTTTGGTAATACTATACTCCCAATTGTCGTGCCAACAAAACACTTAACTGAACTGAAACAGAGACGTTTCAGAAGGTCATTGCAATGACGTGTCCAACATTGTTCACCCTTGTGTGCACAATGGCATATGATCTCGTATGAACCGGCAGCTTCAAACAGGTTAATATCAGTAGACACATCTTTCAAGTCTCCTATAATATACCTCAAACACTCTCATATCCTTCTGCGGTGTGCCATTTATTCAGCAACAAAGAGACTTGCTGCCAAAGACATGGAAATGAAACCCTAATAGCTTATTTCTTCATGTTGCACACACATCCTTATGTAAATATGGCCTGAAATGCCGTCGTCAGAAGCATAATGCCTGCTAAATCCACACGCTGCTAATTATGTCTAAAGGAAGATGCAATTGTACACCAGCTACAAATAAATCAATTGAAACCGGAGGTAATTATGCTCACAAATGAACATAATTATCCATGCGATTTCACGAGCCAGTCGCCTGACATAAACAAAACACACGCATGTGGTGAATTCTCTATGAGATGTGTATCAGAGTTGAAACAGACCTCGATCGCGCAGAAACGTCCCAGCAGGCCTTGGGCTCCCCTGGTCTATTCCAGGTAATCAAATGCTGCCGGCACGCAGGTTTCCGCATTAATTACATCTCTTTAAGCGGCCTGTTCAAAGGCAGTGGATCATCAGCTTTTGAAGGTCACTTCCCTTTCTAGCTGGTGATCAATATCTGAAGCCTCTGGGCTCCATCCAGGTTCAGCTCTGCCTCTGCCGGAGACAAGAGAGAGATGCTGGAGTTTAAATATAGCAGAGCACGAGAATACAGTGCAGAAGCTCAGGAGAAACAATTCCAACATTCGCTACAAAAAGTCGTTTCAAATATAGAACTAAAGTTATGTGCAGTCAAAGGTCAAAAGACTCCTTTAAAGGCATTATGACATTTTATGGATTTAGTTTGACTTTTAACAGTGAGTAAACAGTATCATGAATGTTTTATTTAAAAGGTTCATCTAAATGGCTTATCACTAGATGCAATTAAAATAAGCATTACCATAAAACATCATGATATATAAAATATATTTCTCTATGTCACTTATTAGTGATACAAATCAGTGTTATTTTAGTATCAGCGAGATACTATTATAATGTTTACTAATATTTTAATTTAGCTTTTACTTTTGTATTTTCTACAAATGATAATGTGTGGTTTTGTCTTATTTTCAGTTTTAGTTATTTTTCAGTTTTAAGTAAAAAAGTTGAAAATGAGACGCTGTCTTTGTAACTTGAAAAAAGTGTAGTTTAATAATATTTTATAAATTATAATATATTTTATTTCACTTGAGTTATTATCATGGACTAAAACTCAAATTAAAATATTTTTGTGTCAATTAAAATAATGCTGAAATAGATTAAATATAAATAAATAAAAGATAAATAAGTTGCTATGGCAACATATCTATTTTCTTTTCTATCTTCATCTAGTTTTATTTGAAGCACTAAACTGACTATCAATAAATCAATAAATAAAAAAATCCTAAATAGTATATTAAAAAAATAATAAATATGACAAAGCACAAAATTACAAAAAAGTAACTAAAATAAAAATTTAAACTGAAAGTATAAAAATAAAATACCAATTTAAAATAGAAATAAAAACTATAATAAAAATACTAATAAATAATAATACTAAAATACCACTATGTTGTATATTATTAATAGTTATGTTTTTGTAGTTAACTATAATAACCTTGATACAAACGCATTAATAGGCTACAGTATAATGCAATAGATAATAAATTCACAATATGAGAGCAAAAGTTAGACAGTGACCAAAATCACTGAATATAATTAATAAATGTAATGAAATACATTTAATAATAATATTACAATTTATACAATTTTTATATATGAATAAATGGTTTTAGGAGATGAATAAAGACCATTGTATTTTTTTATACTATAGAATCCAAATGAATATTTGGATTTATATATATATATATATATATATATACAGTTTAATGAGGAAAAAAAATTAACTTAAATGATTTTAGCAAATGGCTGCAATATAACAAAGAGTGAAAAATTTAAGGGGGTCTGAATACTTTCCGTACCCACTGTATATACATAAAGCAGGTAAAATAAGTTTTTTCTCAATAAATATATTTCTAAAGGTGCTGTTGACATGAAATTTTCACCAGATGTCGGTAACAACCCAAGTAATCCATACATACAAATAAAACAAAACAAATAAGTTCAGAAATTAAGTTCTGTGTAATAAAATATATATATTCCACAGTATTGTATATTTTAATAAGTGTCAGTATTACATTAGTCTGAAAATTAAAGTAATTTGTAAAAAGACACTTTTAACTGTAATTTTGTGGGCAGTTTATTATGATTTCATGCATGAGTAACTCATCCTGAAATCACAAATGACTGAAAAAAGATATTTGTGTATATCATCATCATGAACTGCTCC